GAACTAATTAATCAGGTTGCAGTGGAATGTTTTTCAGCGGACGTACTTTTCCAGCATGACGTTCGTCCCACATGATGGGCAAGCGTATTCGAGCACCTCCGTGCCTAGGGCCGCCTCCAGGCATCGAAGAAGTTCTACCGGTTCGTACTCTACTTTTGGTGGATCACCTCCTTCGACGAAAACCGGGGGCTTCTCTTTGGCCGGGACCGGAACGCTGATGGAGTCTTGGGAATCGACGCGATACCGAACCTTGTTGCATTTTGTGCATTGCAGGCGCTGTTCCAGGCCAAATTTGAAGATGCGTGTTGGTTGCTCTTCCTCAGCTTCGCTCTTCTTTTTCGCATCCTGTCGCAGACTCTTCAAGAGATGGGCCAGGAACTCCTCGGAGTCTTGTTGGCGGATAGTGGAGAACTCCTCGTGCCCCTTCCCAATGAGAGCTTTGAACGTCGTCGGCTTGAGGCCCTCTTGGAATTGCGGAGTGGTTTGATCCGGGGCCTCAGGAGATGGGGATTGTACTACGGTGTTTGGATCAGGAACTTTCCGGGGATGACTATATCGACCGGAAAGTAGACCATCAGCCAGTTTGCCCATTTGACACTCCAAGCAACTAGCTGGAAGTGGTTCGGGGCAAAGATCGGCGTGCGCGAGAGAGGAAGGATGGAAGCGCGTCTGGAACGCAGGTAGGGAGAACAACGACTGGATAACCGAGGCCAGATAGCAGCTAGGGTAAAGCAGCACGTCAGCTCGACCCACAGATAAAAATAATGTAAGAGGCTTACCTGTTACCCAAGTTCGCGAGACCTGTCAGACCAGGCCCAAACACTGGCTCCAAAGATTTTCCATCTTCGCCGGTCATACTGAAGTCGTACTTAAGGTTGTGTTCGATTTGCTATAATACGGCATTAGGCGCAGGTCAATAATGGGATACTTATTACCAACCAGCTCTGTCATGTTCTTTTCCGTCTTTGTCTGTGTCAACACATTTATGCCAAAGTTGGCGAGGTGAGCCGCAAGCTCTGGATCCAGCTTTGAATCGTTGCATTGATAGCAATAGATATCTTACGAGCGTACCAAGTAAGTGATATGGTGGTTATGCAGGCGGTGGCTTGAGCTTACCTGCTGTTCCTTCCGCGGTTATAGTTCCAAGCTTGACGCTGACCGGATGCTGGGACTCGTTGAAATGGGCGAGACCATGACCGTTGCCACCAATACCACCGTATTGAGCTCTGCCACATCCAAGATTACCACAGGTAAGGCATAGCCAGAGATTTTCCTTTAGGTCGCATTTCCCGCAGTGCGCCAAGCCTAAGGAACCCAGAAAAGGTAAAGGATGGCTTCTAGTGAACACTCAGACTAGCTCAGCGTACCTGATGCCTGGATCTGATGCGAGGTCACTTGTTCGAGCATGAGAGTGTGCTCGCATGGGGTGATATCCTCCTCCCAGGCTTTGACCTCGGACTGCCGAGCGGAAGACATGGATTGCATGACACCATCCACCAAAACACGAACCTACAGCGGAAAGCATTAGAGATGGTCGTATGATAACAATGCGAACCAATAAACACACTTTGGGCTCGTTTGCCAGGTCGGGAAGTTCGACACCGCCGCAGGCCCAACACTTCAAGGTGGTTTCGTGCGTGTATTTATCCTCCTCGCGTTCTTCCAGGATGGCCAACTTCTTCATTGGGGGTTCACTGTCATCCTACGTAGTAAATGGACGCGTCAGACTTCGCATACGAGCGAAGTGTGCATCGAGTCAGCGAACCCTTTGTGGTCGAGGTTTGGCCTTGCGCTTGACGTTCAAGACGAAAGGGTGATCTAATCTCTCGTAGTGTGTCCGCGCATGATGTCGCTCATCACTAGTACAGCCACCATTGAAGCAGGTTAGGCAGACGTCAACGCCAGACGGGAGGTCCTACGGGCAACCAGACGCGATGAGCCTGCGGTATGCACCACTGCTGACTACAACTCCTCGGACGAACCTGATTGTCAAAGCACTGCGTACACTCCTCTCGGTGGACCGATTGGGAGAGTTTAGGTGCTTGTAGCGATGAGAGGCGATCCAGGTGGGAGCAAGTAGCCATCGTTATGCTTGGTGGTAGTCGAGATTGAAAGGGAGTGGGCGCCAAAACGCGAGTGCCGCGCGAGTACTAATGAGCATCCTGGAAAATGCTGGAAATAACAAAACCGCTATATTCCATACTGTACAACATCTACATAACAGTGTGTGCTTCGTTCCCAAATATCGCTACGCCGCGCTACAAGCCAATGCATGGTCAGGCACGCCTTCCATCGTTCGACGATCCTTTGCTCACCTTTCGCGGACAGTTGACTGTCACCCGATTGCACCCATGGCACTTGACAGATTTCAGCACTGGGCAGCCGTCTAACACACTTTTGATGACGTAGTCATCTACCTCCCTGCACCAACTTAAGTCCAGATTGACCAGTTGAGGGAGATACTGCGCCATCCCCATCAAGGTTTCAGTAGGTGTCTCCTTCCAGCTATTGATATTCAGGTCCTCCAAAGCCGCTCCAGAGTGAGCGAGTAACGCGGATAGAGCGGCGCTGGAGAGTGAATGGTTTCGGCTGAAGTCGACGCGTTGCATTGGATGGTCGTTGCTGAAGGCGCTGAAGAACGCCGCAACCCCTTCATCGGTAAGCAACTCGAGGGAAGCCATGATCAAGGTATTCAAGGATCCCGTGTGGGGAGCGACGCCCTCTGTGAGGACCTTGTCCGTCAGTGCGATGTGTCCGCTCAGGTTGAGTAGCGTCAACCTTTGCCCGACGCTGGAGAGAAGGGCGATCATCGGCTCATCCGTGAGGGACTCGGGAGAGAACGACAAGTCGAGTGATGTGAGATTTTTGAAGGCCTCCAAGTGGGGTAACCATTCGTCCTTGAGTTGCCCGATCTCTGCAAGGCGCAATTCCCTAAGCGTGTCGGCTGTGTGCTCGACCATGGCTTCGAGGCAAGCCAGGTCGAACCTCGGCGACTGCGTGATTAGGAATCCCTCGAGACGTTGATCCACGGCGGTAAAGAAAGCCTTCCAACCTTCAGGTTTGACTAAAAACGGGCCGAGGAGCTCGAGGCGAGTGAGCTGCGACAAATGGCTCCCGTAGTGTTCAATGACAGGCGTTGTCATGCGACCGCATAGGTCTAGCCGTAGGTTTTCGACATTGGGGTTGAACGACGCGAGAGTCATCAGGGCTTGCGGTGGTAAGGCTTATGGGTGTCGAAATATGAATGCCAGGTTCCGACACACAGTGGATAGTGCACTTACCTGTGGCATCGGTTAGAAATACTTCGGTATTTCCGACATCGTAGAAAAGTTTGACGTTTTCTTCGGTTCTGAAAGAAGGAAACTCGTGAGGAGACAATCGGAACAGAGTCGTATTGCTACATACAGTCGCCTGTTCTTGCAAATAATCTTGACAATATTCATCAAATTCACTTGGCCAATTGCACCCAGTGCATCCACGTCGTCAATATGTTTGCTGATGATCTATTTGACGACCTTAGTGACATGCGGGCAGAAGGCCATACTTGAGAAACGAAAATTACCTCGATGCAAATGTTCGCTAGTGTCTTAACGCTTTCCGTATCTTCGAAGTTCACTACTTGTCGCTTGTCCGCCGGTTTTCGCTTTTTCGCTGCTGGAGCCTTCTTGAAAGGGTCCTTTCCGGATGCTTTAGCACACAGATGACAAAGATATCCTGGTGGGGGATGCTTTGCCATGGTATACTTTGTCTGAACGACAGCATGGGATCAGTTGGGCTAATGTTAAGTTCGGCGTCCTCAACCGGGTACATACAACAGTAAATCTTTTTCCGCACTCGGCGCAATTCTCAAAAGAGCCGATATCAGGAGGGGGTCCGAGTGCAGCACTGTTTGATGCGGAAGGTTTATTGTAAGAGTCTTCCTCGTCGTCGTAGTCACTGTCGTCGTCTGCGCGTTTGCGCTTTTTCGCCGCGGCGGCCTTGGCCTTGGCCTTTTCTTTTTCAAGCTGGGCCTTTGTGGGTTTCTTCTTTTTCTTATTAGCGGATGTATCATCGTCGTCGTCCAGGTTGTCAGAGTTATATCCGTCTTGGTTCTGCAAAACGGGAGGGACAAAGATTTAGAGGTCATGTGGTGCGGGTGGCTTCAGATATCACAAGAACGCACATTGCGAGCAGGCGATGGGTTGCTATTAGATGGGCCAGCCTCTGCATTACTAGGTCCCGCCTCTGCATTGCTGGGCTCGGCTTCTGGGTTGTCCTCTTCCGCCTCGACTCTACGACGCCATGTATTCGTTGGGCGGGTATTGATGCCTTGGTCCTGAATAAAATAGCGTTTTGTTTCTAGGCTTCAGACGAAACGAAAGCGAACCCCATACCCTTAGGAAAGCTGTAAGCGCTGAGCTTGGTCCGGTAATACCGTTGGCTCCAACTCGGCGGCGAGACATGGTTCAGAGGGCTAAAGTGTGGAGGGCAGAAAGTGGAAGCGGAAAATGCAAAGTTCGACGCGTCTCATTTACGCCCTTTAAGTCCGTGTAGGTCCGCCACCGCGTCCAGGCGCTATTATCCATCGTCGTGTGCAGATACGAGTGCCCTTAAATACCAAGAGGTTAACCAAGAGTATCGCTTTAATGAAGCTATTTTCTTAGACGCTAAACCGACCAAGCTTCAATACCTGGAGTAGGCGCGCCTTTCGCTTCCCCGGCTACAGTCCCCGATTACCCATGAGTTCTTTTATCAAATACTAAAGCTGCAGTGATACCAAAGTATTGCTCTGCTATCCTAATATTTATTGTAGCTGCTGTTTCAGCAAGGCGGGGTTGCGCACGGCGACAGTCAAAAGGGTTGCCCCACTAGCCTCAATCATCTGAAGGTTTCAGACTTTTTGGAGTATCCCCACCCACGAAGCGAGAAATAAGTCATTATAAACAGTAGTTAACGACAAAATGAAACGCTACAGAGCAAAAAAGGAAGCGGGGCAGGAGCACCTGACCCGCTCTTACAAGTTCCCTCACACAGACTTGAACTATGGACCTCGTCATGTCACCACCTGAACGGCGTGTACTAGTGACGCGCTCTACCACTGAGCTATAAGGGACTTGGGTGTCATGACTCAATTTTAAATCTAGTTATACCGAAGAAAAATATGTGGTTGGGACACCAGGGACTTTCACGCGGTGACCTCGGAGGGAGCGTGGGATCAGTTGACAACTGCTCCAACAGGTTCTTCCGCTCATCTACCCAGGAGAGCACCCTCGCCTACAAGCAAGCCCCTGATTGCCTTTCTTCTTCGGCAAAATGGATAGGTACGGCACTTGTGAACTACGAGGCTTGCAGAGAGCTGAGATTCTCCAACCGTTAGCTTGGAGTTCAATTTGCACCAACGGATTCTCTCAGACCTAGCTCGAACAGTAGCATGCCCAATATCTGGGTGGAGCAGTGTTGCATCAGATAACGATGACGGAAAGAAGTCTGTAGAAAGCGCCATCCAGGCTCTGTCGTCCAGAGTAGAGACAAGAGTCAAGTCCCCGCAGCACGACGCAGCCTACGTAAACGGAGATCCATCGCACGAAACTACCCCTGATCCTACGGAGAGCACCGAGGATGATTCCACATCTGAAGAAGGGGATGAATATGAACCAAGAGTTTTCATGGTCCGTGGCATAGCTCATCTGGCGCCCGATCATGCCATTTTGACAACTGGTTCCAGAGTGCTTCTAGGGTTCATTGCAACATTGCATTCGGAGAAATGGCGTCCAATATGCCCCCTGAGCATGCTACCAAAAGTACCGCAGTGCTAATCGAAATCCTCAAGGATATTCCATACATCGACTTCGAGAATAATCTTGGGTGGGAGGGTATGACACCCTTTTTCTCTTTCTCTTGCACATGACTGACAATCGATCATAGACTGGGCCCTTCCGGACCAACTGGTCTTCTCCACCGTCTCCGCGCTTCTCAAGATTGCTGCCGCATACTCAGAACACCGCAGCAATGTGATGGATGCTTTACGAAACTTTTCTCTCGAAATTATCAACCAACTCAAGTCCGAGTCTCGTAAGGATTTAGCGAATCACCATTAACAGGCCTCCCCTTTCTGACGTCGCGAATAATATAGCCGACCAAGTTATCACTCGTGTAGCCCCGTCCTTCCATGGATTGTATCGTGCGGTTATATCGACCCCATTTCCATGGCACGTTAACGAGTGGCAGGCCTTGTCCGCCAAAGTCGATGGAGTCTTCACCCCACACCTCGTTGACCGCCTAAACTCCCTCCTCACCGAGTATCTTGAGGTCGCCGCAGAAGACATTATTCACCCACAGGGAGGGAATGGACGAGCGGATCCCCAGGATGACGAGGGGCTGTCGCCTGACGCGCGGACACGCCCGTCACAAGCTTTCATTTCATCACTAGTCCTTCGGTATGCCGAAGCCGAGCGCCCACTTAGCGGCTATTTCCTCGTTTGCAGCTTGACGGAAATTCAATGGGTTCTCTTGGGTCAAGTGCTCGCTCCACCACTCTCCATGCGCCCTTCTCCCGAAGAGTCCTCTCTATCACTAGACACCCCTCAAGCAACAGGTCCGGTATTCTCCTCACTTCAAGCGAAAACACTGAGAGAATGTAACAGTGTGGACGACGAGGCCGAAGCTGCAAACGAAGCATGGGGAAATTTGATCCGTCAAGCAGTGGAACCACTCTTTAGGTCCAATAACTCTGAGATGGATGGCGACGATTTGCCCCCGCCACGATCAATTGAAGAGGAGTTGGAGCTCGATGCAGTGAAGAAATCCTTAAACATCACCCTTTCTTCAGCAATGCAAACCTTCGAAGACTTATTGGTTCAAATAGAGGAGATGGACGTCGAACCTTCAATGGAGACGTATGCTTACGAAACCATGGCCGAAAGCTTGGTATGTCTAAACAAACAGTGAAAGGATTGCTTAATGAGACGATATTCCTCTGTAGAAATTAGCTTCACTGTGCTGCATCGCGCTGGGAGACCTCGACTCTGGACTGTTCTCTCGGCTCAAGTTACTCTTAAGCGATTCTTCTCCCGTATACGAGAATCTGGTACAGGAGGCTGCCCTTACGGCTACAACGGCGCTTGTCCATAAGTAAGCGAGTTCATGGACTCTTTCCTGGAACTCGAGCTAATACTCGCCTAGCTTCCCAGAGACAGCCAGTTCGCTCGTCCTACACTTACGCCGGTTTGTTACGGCCCCACTGCCTATATTCCAGCTGGAATACCCAACACACATTCGGGCTCCTCCTCCATTGACCGCAGCTGCCAAGTGTCTTGCACTGTGCATTAAAGTATGCGTTATGGTTCGGAATCTCTCTCCTTTGGTCGCTCACATCCTTTCGCCTTCCAGGTGGCACCGGGTGACGATCTCGTCATGTCAAACATGTACTCTCTTCTCAACTATATCGCAGCTACAAGCAAGGAGCTTAGCAATCCGAATGTGACGCCAGTCGTCGGCCAATCTCCATACGCCTTTGACCAACTGGGGATCAACTCCGTGGAAACCGGTTTAAGAGTCTTTGACGAAGATCAGCGCAGATTGATTGGGATGAGCACAATATCAGTTGTAACGCAGCTGGCGCTCGAGTTTGAGGAGGAGGAAGTAAGTGACCAAGTCTTTATCCCTGTTGCTTGTCTCACTTTGGCGACTTTTGGCTGAGCAGGTCACGAAGCTCACCGTATCAATGTTACTGCAACGTGTTCGATCTGCCGGACCGGATGTGGAGGCTGCCATTGCATATAACCTCGTGGACCTGGCGCTGGCTGCCCCTCCAAAAGTCTTCAGTGATATAATTCATGCGTTTTCCTTAGCCAACCGATTTTCCGATCCAAACGATCCAAGAAGGACAAACAACATGGTACGAAATTGAATCTAAGATAATCATAGAATGACTCTAACTGCTGGTTCCGAAGATTCTCGCTGCCCAAACTCGTTTGGCCCAAGAGCTTGGAGAACGTAGAGAGCAACGAGCTTCCTACTTGTGTGAACTGTTGTCGCTCTTTGGAGAAAAAGGCATTGCCTTGCAAACTCAATCCGCAACGAACAAGGAACGCCTTGTGGTGAGGAAACTAAACAAGTGTCCTTGGACTTGACTGATAGAATTCTCTATAGCTACCAACCGAAGTCGACGAATTGGGAGGGCTTGTCCTGCCGATTGATGCACTTGTTTCGCACAAAGACTTCAAGCTTCACATCAACTCCCAAACCGAACTTGTCCAGCTTTTCCGAAACTTCTGGCTACTCTGTGTCCTCTTCAGATTTACCTCCGCAGATTCCCCAAGCATTAATGAATGGCAAAGGGCCGCCCTGGCTCGAATCGCTGCAAAGACACCTCCCATCATCTTGGAAAGCTCTCAAGACTTCGTTACCAGCGAGCTAGAATATAATCCTGTCCTTAGACAAGACTATCTCCAGATGGTATGTATGGCCGCCCCTTGTCATTTACAGCCCTAAATTTACCTTGTGCAGGCTGTGGGACATCATCGCTCAAGGCTGAACGACCTCTTACCATTGCGACTCGGAGATATTCGGTATTTGTCCCCTGGACAAATTATCTTCATCCTCACGCTTTATGACGTCGAGGTCCTCCGCTCAAGTATGGATCTCCCTGCCTCACTGCCAACGTACTTCGTGAACGACGGGTTGAACAAGAGCGGTGCTCTGGCGGGCTGCATGGATGCAATCGCGGAGAATGTAGGTCACATCGTACGGCCATGCCCCGGGAGTGTCTCATCGTTTTTTTTTCTCGCAGGTTATCAGGTCATACGTTGGAGTGCTCAGTCGAAAAATTGTGGACCATTCCCTGAGCAAAGAGCTGTCAGGCGAATTGCGCCAGCTGCTAGTCGCTTCGTGCCACCGAGTGACAAAACCCAGGGAGATTGCAGCCAGATATCTCAACCGGCTTATTACCTCGTTCCCGTCCCTAATGTGTGACGAGAGCCTGGTATGCGCCATTCTGGAAGTCCTTACTCTCTTGCGAAAAGCGTGCGAAGGCGAATTCACAGACGAGGTCGGTCTCGTCTTTTTCCGATGATTGCCATGTTTTTAAAGCCTCCCGTATTCTTTAGTACTCGCCACAGCCAGAGTTTACGTCCGAGAGAGCCGGGATCCGATTGCAGCTCACCGACAACTACCGGGTTAGAAATGACATGCTCACATCGCTTATCAAGAGCGCAGAGTCGTGGTTTGGTCTTGCCGTCCTTCGGGCTCCGATGGAGCTGCAGGTAATATTGCAAAACTACCTTGGTGCACACGATACAGTCGTTGTTCCGGAAGCCATGGAGCTCGGCGCGACTATCGCGCTCAAATTTGCCACCACTCAAGGACCACTAGAAAGGAAGGCTGGTGAGTGGGAAGGGCCACCCAGGACATGCCGTCGGAGTGCTAATACTATGTTCATTAGCTCCCATATCTGGCATCGCTGCCTGGAAACCAGATTTGACGAGATTATTTGTGAGCCAAGTTGCTGGGAAAAATCACTACGCTGGCGAAAACAACGGGATAAGATTAGCTAGCTGCAGCGGTCAGGAGCGAGCCACTTTCTTCCCCTTCCCAGGTCCTGACACTTGAATGCAGTCCCAGATAAACTTCAAAAACAACCACCCGTCGGAACACCTCGTCCAGAAACCGAAAGCCTTCGATCTCTCCTTGCCAAGGCTCTCGCTCAAATATGCGACAAAACCAGCAACCTCAGCATCCAAGAATTGAAGAGACTCTTGTTCCGATGTGCCTCCACCTTGGCTTTGGCCAAAAAGGTAAGCTCCTTCAATACGACCAGATCGTACAAAAGCTAACTTCGCGCGGGTAGTGCGACTATGACCTCCTGCACTACCTGGTTATCATTCCATTCGAAATCTTCTCCCCATTTTCCATCTCGCTAGGCATTGAATCGTGGACTTGGTTAATTCGTGAGCGACCAGATTGCGAAATCTCGTTGATGCTCGAGATCAACTCGGCATGGGCTGGAACGATCAAGAAACATAGGGGAGTTTTCTCCAAGCACCTTAAGTTAGTGGGTTGTTGGTGCCGCCTTGGACGAAGCTTCCTGACCCTTTCAAACACTTTGCTAGCTAT